GACGGAGCCGTAGGCCTTGGACTCGGTGCGGTCGCCGTAGGTGCCGGGGCGCAGGCCACGGGCCTCGGCGCCCAGCTCCTGGCCCGAGTCCGTGCTGGCCGACTCCTCGCTCTCCTCGGGGGCGTCTCCCTTGTCCAGCTGCGGCCCCTCCACCTTCACAGCGGGCGCGGGGTCCTCGCCCGGCCCTTCCCCTTTGCGGGCTGGCTCCACCTGCATTTCTGAGACGGGAGGGCGGGTACTGAGGAGTCGGCTGCCGGGAAGCCCACCAGGCCCTGGCCCCATGCGGCCCGGGCTGTCTCATCTCCACGTGCCCTCTCCGTGCGGGCACCTAGCAGAGCCTGGTAATGTCTGCTGACCAGGGCTTTTGCTGCCCGGAAGACGGTGGCAGCCTCGGCGCGGGGTCCCTGGGGGCTGTCAGCCACCAAGCACCGGGTGCACTGGGCCGCAGGGCTCTGGGAGGTGGGCACTGGGCACTGCGCCAGCACCGCCTCAGGACACCGTGTGCTGGCGGGCGGCACGGCCAGCTGCACAGCGAGACACTGACGCCCAGATTCAGGAATGAGAAAAGACGTCGGCCCCAAAGCTGAGGTGAGAGGGTGGCTCCCAGAGGGATGAGCTGTAGGTGGGGGGACAGGGACCTGGGGGGACGCGTGAGAGGGAGACCGTGCGTGCAGGCTGGCACCGGCTGCGAGGTGGTACCTTGCTCCGCGCTCTCTGACAAGGCGGCCTCGGCCTCTGCAGCAGCCATGCCACTGGTGGGGTCGGGCTTGGGCTCCACCGGCGGGGGCTCCCGGGGGGCATCGGCCTTCTCCGTCTGCTCCGCACCTGGTGTGGGGAGACCGGAATGAGACCCCGATGGCTCTCCTGGACCAGGCCCCTGGGAGAGGGTGTGGCTTGGGGGCTGGGCTGGGGCCGGCACATCCAAGCTCAGGCTGTGTGGGCCTCTGCTCTGTCTGAAAGACACCCCAGAACCACAGTGGGTCCTTCCAGGTAACCTGAGCTCAAGGGGGCCACCAACCTCCCCAGCCAGGAGCCGCCCCAGGAAGCCCTCACCGCACTGGGCCGTCACACTCACCGCTGGCTGCACTCTCAGCCTGTCCCCCTCGCTCCTCCTTGGGCTCCCTGCCGGAGCCCCTGGGTGGGCTGCCTCCAGCAGGGTCCAGCGCACTCAGCGTGGTGGCAGCAGCCCTCTCCTCTTTGGCTCTCCTGGCCCCTCCTGGAGATGGAACAGGACAGACCTGCCGTTTCCCATCAAGTGCTCACCGCGTGGGGCGGGCAGTGAGGCTGCTCCTCCATCCCGGGGGGGGGACATTAATAGAGGTTTCTTGCTGGGCAGCTGCTCTGGGCCTGGAATACCAGCCGTGGCTGCTGCTCCCAGGGGCTCACAGACCGGCCGGGGACACCAGCCTCACACATGAAGTACCAATGCTGGTCAGAGGTCAGCGCTTAGGAGAGGAGGGGTTCTCTGAGAGTGTACCCCAAGGGACCTGGCCCACACCAGGCGTCGGCTGTTCTGAGACACTGAGGGGACAGAGGAAGGGCTCGGGACAGGAGTGTGCAGGAGCGAGCCGTGTGCAAAGGCCTTGAACCAGGCCCACTGCACTGCCCAGGGAAGCTGATGAGTGGGGGGAAGGGGCAGACAAAGGGCCCCTCCGAGAGGCCTTTCTGACTTTACTGTGGCTGACCCTCTCCAGCACCCCACAACACAGGCAAGGCCAGAAGAGGAAACTGAGGCCCAGAGGCAGAAGCAGAGCCCCCACCAAAAGCCATCTGCCCAGGAAAGCCTATCAGGAATCTTTTTTTTTAAAAAAAATATCTTTATTGATTTCAGAGAGAGGAAGGGAGAGGGAAACAGAGAGAAACATCAATGATGAGAGAGTCATTGATCGGATGCCTCCTGCAAGCCCCCAACTGGGGACCAAGCCCTCAACCTGGGCGTGCGCCCCGACCAGGAATTGAACCTCAATCTCCTGGATCCTAGGCTGATGCTCAACCGCTGAGCCATGCCCAGCTGGGCAAGGAATCTTACCTTCCAAGGCCAAGGCCTCTGTGCTCTCCCCTGGGCTGGCAGCCGGCTCAGCGAGCGACTTGAGGGCGTGGCAGGCTGTGATGATGTCCTGTATCTGCAGGAAGCTGGCCACGGCCAGCACGTCGTCCACGTTCTCGGAGCTCAGGCTCAGCTTGGCCGTGTACATGAACTCCAGCACCTGCCCCAGGCCTGCGAGGACACAGCCATCACGGGCTCACTCAAGGCCTGGCACCGGTGCCTGCCCAGTCGCTCCACTTGGCAGCAGGGCCCAGTGGTTTGTGAAAAACGAGGTGACAGGCCGTCCTCTCCCACCTCCTATGCTGCAGAGAGCAGGGCAACTGGGGGTACTCAGTCCAGGAGGTGCACCCACAGCCTAGAGGTGCTGCTCCCAGGGGGGCAGGGGCTCCCAAGTAGGCTTGGCAGGCACAGGGCCAGCCAGAGCTCCTGGCCCTCAGTAAGCTTGGCCCTGGGCCCGACGGGGTGGGGTACCTGCTGCGTTGCTGATGTCCAGGTGCACCACATCCTTCTGGTCCACGAAGAGCATCTTGAAGTACTCACTGCAGGCCGCCAGCACTGCTTTGTGGGCCTTAAAATCCACACCATCCACCACGAAAGTGCAGTCACACAGAAGCCCCAGCTGCCGCTGCTGGTTCAGCTGCTCCAAGACATGCTGGCTGTGCTGCGGGAAGTCCATGGCTGGGAGAGGCAAGGGCCCCGTGTTAGCTCGGAGAGGACTCGGCACTTAATGCTCCACCCCAAACTCCAGGGAGAGATGTGGGGAGACGGGGAGAGTTTAAACAAGTCCACGGAGGGCCAACGACTCGATACCCTCTGCAGGCTGAGACTGACAGGGACTCCTAATTCCTGGGTTTCCTGGCCAGGAAAGTTCTAAACCCTAAGAAGCATCAAGGGATCAACAAGAAACAGCTACCGTTGTGTCCTGCCAGGTAACAGTATTAAAAAGTAACCAGGCAGACACAAAATGCTGATGACTGTCAGCTCAAAAAGGGACAGGGTCAGCTTAACATTCTTTACAAAAAAAGGTGTAGGACAATCTCAGACTAAAGGACAGACCCATCCACGGGACACACTGGCTGGATGAGACCTTCCATTCTGTTACGTTTTCTCATCTGTTACGCAGGCGAACTGTGCACCTGGGGAGGCAGACGCCTCATCACCGGGTTTCAGGATGGGCCCCGTTCCTGCTGCACCCACATGGTGCTGTGCAGGTTCCCTCTGGGCCGATGTCTCTGTCTCTCTCTCACTCATGGGCTCAGGGACATGAAGCTGGGGAGCCCTCTGCCTCCCGAAACCTCCCTAGGCCGTCCCTGAGAAAAACAAACCCTGGCCCTGACCCCAAGAGCCCTGGCTTGGGCGCAGTTTCTCTGTCACAGGCTGCACTGAGTGCCTGGAAATCCCACCGCTGTCTCTGGTAAAAAAGCTCAGAGAAATTCCATGGCCTGGTGCCCAGTGACCCTGCAGCGCACGAGCCAGGCCTAAATAAGTATGTAAACTCGCTCTCTTCTCCCTGGACTCCACACCAGCTGGTCTCGAGATCTGCATTTTCTAGGGAAAGTGAGCAGGTCCCCCTTTCAAGAAAGAATCAACTTCAAACTAAAGTCCATGCCCACCCCTGGGACCACACTGCAGAGACGTAATAGGGCCACACTGGCCCATCCAGGCCCAGAGACTGAGAAGGGGCAGCGGCCGCTCTTCCAGCTCTCCTGGGACCTCTTCTCCGAGGTGGGGCTGCTCAGAGCCACCCAGGCTGTTTCTGGGCAGGTGACAGCACCACACTGGGGCTTCCAGCCCCCCGGTTCCAGCTGCCCTCCACGAGCTCTGCCCGTTCCCGTTACATCAGCCTCCCGGGGTGAGTCAGAGTGGAGCTGCAGTGACCATGTACGGCGGTCTGGCTGTGATGAGCCACAACGAAAGCCACGCCCCCCGCCCTTCACCCACGGCCTAACCCGAACCGATCAGCTCTGAGCAATGCGAAGCCAGTCCACCCACTCCCTGATGTCTGGAAAGTTTTCAAAAGTGGGGCTATGTATTTGCTGAGCTGGGGGAGTCACCCGGCAGGTGGGCAGGCCACGTGCCACAGGGTGCCAGCCTCTAAGCTGCGAGTTCAGAGTTGCTGCTGGAGACCCAGCAACACCCTCTCTCCCCTTCCCTCCACCATCCCCAGGACTGTCCTTTGGTCCCAGTTTCCACCTACAAGCTCACAGAGCCACAGCCTCTCGTACCTCTCGGTAATGTCATAACTGCCTGTGGCCAGAGGTCCTTAGTGTGAGCAGGGAAGAGCCAGGAGCCAGCCTCCGAGTCAAGAGTAACACTTGGCTCCTGGGCCAGACCAGCTGCAGCAGCTCGGAGCCACCAGCGCAAAGGCTGCCACTGACACAGGACACCTCCTCGAGGTCTTCACTCCGGGGAAAAGCAAGCTCCCATGTGTGACCTGAGGACTGCACGAGGGAATTCCGGCTGCTCTGTCCTGAGCAGGGAAAAGCTAAAGCAGAGACATGATGCAGAACACGGAAAACTAATGTTCTGTCCACGGGTTAGATGCCCAGTGGGCTTGGGACCTGAAGGGGGCGCGCACCAGGCATGGTGTCGATGGGACCAAAGGCAGGCGGCAAGGAGAGGCTGGGCCACATCGCCCCAGAGCTGTCTTCTCTCTGCTGTGGAAAAAGCCACGCGAACAAACAGGTGTGTACAGCCGAGTCCCAGCCACCCTCCACGTCCTCAGGAGCCCCAGGAGCCCCAGGTGAGATACCTCCCAAGTGCAGAGAGGGAGGAACCGGGAGGCCCACGACGGCCAAATCCTCCCTCGGCTTGGCTTCCGAATGAGCTTTCGCAAGAGTCCAAACCCTCCCCTCCTGGCAGGGGCCTGGCGCCCTCACCTCCACCAGGAGCCAACCCAAAAAATGAGGCGGGGGTGGTGAGTATCTTCCAGCTCAGAAACAACCAGGGAGCACCCACTGAACCCCCAAGGTGCAGAGTTGCTCCTGTCCCCCTAGCTGGAGCCTCCTGAAAGCAGGACCCTCCCTCCAGGAAGCAGCCTGACTGGCTGGGGAGACAAACATGAGAAGACCCCAGGTCAGCAGGTGGAGGGGGCTGCCAGCCCAAAGTTCAGGTGATGACTGGCCTTGCCCGGGACCCAAGGCCCTACCCCAGAGCCTCTAGGGAAGGGCAGCAAGCCCGGCTCTCCTGGGCCGGACACATTGTGTGTGCACACGTGTGTGTGTGCGCGCACATGCGTGAACACTCTCATGTTCTGAGGCCTTGCAGGAGGGCTGGCGAAGGTCCCTGGGAGGGGGTAGAGGTGGCCAGCACCTCTGGGCTCCCGCCCGCCCCCACAGAGAGGACAGCAGCCATGGGCCATGAGTAATGCTGGCCACCCAATGCAAAGATGCCCGCCCACACTGGCCGCTCCCCAAAGGTGGGTGTTGTAGGAGAAAACCAGAGGCCTCTGAATTCCTCCGAGGCAGCCTGCAAGGCTGCTCCAACAGAGAAATACTCCTAAGAGCATCTGTTCTGACAAAACCGAAGACAGAAAAGGGAGAGAAAACGGGGAGA